CCCCTTTTCTACTCTTTAATAGCACCCATGTTCCACTGAGATGAATGCCAGTTTCTTCAGTATTGATTTTATTTTAGTTATTACTCTGTTCTTTCCAAGTGTAGGTTAATCCTTTCCTTTTCAAACAGATACAGATAGTTTTTCATAATTTCACAAAACTATATAATACCTCACTGTTGTCTGTTTTTTAAAGTGGTTTTATAAATGAAAGCAGTATTGCCCCTTCAAGCTTCTGCATCTTGCTGCACACATAGTTCAAGGAGGAGGAATAGAGGGTATCTTATTGTGGTAAAGCATGTATAGGAGTTACTTGTACTTACTTACAAATAACTTGGCCTACCAGTCAAAGTTATATTACTTTAAAACATGAAAAATTATAGAAATTTCCAATGTATAAAAAGAAAGCATTTCTTGATAACTATATGCCTGTGTGTAAATAGAAATATGAAATGTATTACCAAGTGTGTGTGTATATTGTGCTTCCTGCTGGTCAGCAGTGCTACATGACCTGAGCAGCATAGAATAAAAAGGTCTCCCAATAATCTGAAATTTAGTGACTGTAAATGTTTGCTGGCACAGGAGAACAGGAAAATCAAAGGCTTATTAAGTGAGGTAACAGGCTCCTTTACCATACGTCAAGAAGTATGAATATCAGATGACCTGGAGTCAGATGTACTAAACTTTCTTTTTTCTATCATCTATTTATTGATTAGTCTTGACAAGTCCTATAACCTGTTACATTATATCAGTCTATGAAATAAAGATGGCAATACTTTGTACCATAAAGAAATGTTTAAAATTAATAATTAATACACAGTATTCTTATTATCATTGCAAGTTCAGGTAAAATCATATAGTTAGGATGGCCATGTGTCCTGTTAGTCTGGGATTATCCCCATTTATACCAGTTGAACCAAAATAATTATTAATAGCAAATAATGTCCCAGGTTGGATGATAAATTATATGATCCCCTTAATTATAATGGACTTCAGGGACTTTGTGAAATGAATATTAAGAAAACCACATGCTTATTCTCAGTGTCCAAACCTAGGAATAAAACATCAGATGCCCAGAAGCTCTGGCTAGATGATAAACAGTAATAGAAGGTGGCCTATATATACCATGTCCCTGCCTTTCTTCCTCTTATATCCTTGATCATTCTGTGAACTGTATCTTTAGCTAGATGGTTTGGGAATTCCTCTGATAAAGGGAATTAAATGCAAGGTAATGGTTCTTTTATAACAAAATCAAGGTTTTAGCTTTTAACTCTAATTCTATTCTTTTTCTAACCCTTTCCATAATGTGGTGCTTTGAGTATATAAAAAAATTGTTCCCAAAGAAATGAACAGTTCTCAACAATGTAGCTATGTACACCATCCATCATTAATTATGCCATGACCAGATAAACAAAGCACTGCTTAACCCTGGGAACCCTGGGGAACATTCATATAACTATGTTGGAGAAATTGAACATTTTCAAATGATATTCATTATAATGAAATTTTATGTGATTTTCATACATTTGTCACTGAGTTTCCCCTCAGTAAACCGGTTAAGTTTCTTTTACTATTCTATGCTTACTCTTAATATCCTTAAAGAATGTGATACTCCTCTTTATACTCCTCTTAACCAATTTGCCTTAGAATGTGTTATGCACTTCTGCTTTAGGAGATAATTATTATTTGCAGATACAAAGATTTCTATTTAAACTTCTGAAATTACTCTACATAACTTTCACATTCCTTTTAGATATGAAATTGAAGGTTGTGAAGTGATTTGGGCCATTAAAGATAAAGCTATAGGGAACACTTTCTTCGATGCAGGAGCAGCTGAATTCTTGACTTCAAAGCTCATTGCTGAAAAACCAGAGGCTAAAATTGCACACAAGAGAACCAGATATACAACTGAAGGTAAGCATGACATCTAGCTCATTAATTCTCAGATGAAACTATTTTTTTAACCATATAAAAAAGGGCTATAAGAAAATTTAGTAAAAATATTTGAGAGATAATAATATAGACAGTATTTATTTCTATACCTGTACATGAAGTTTTCAGATTTTTCTAGAACATATGTAAATACATGTGTGTGTGTCTATATATGTACATACACACACACACAATTACAGTGGGAAATCGAATACAGTGAATTAAATAAACCAGCCATCTGCATCTTTGCAAACAGATGCTACAATTGGGCAACACCTAAGGTAATTTTGTAAAAAATGCAATGAGCTTATAAACTAATAACAAACTTCACTTTTTTGTGTGTTTAATAACTTTAAAAAAATTTGAATTTTGTAAGGTTTGAAGGTGTTACAAATTGACAAAATTTTGAAAATTTGACAATTAATTTTCTTACCCTTCAAATTAACGAGTGTAACATCCAAAAGATAAGGTGTTTTTATATTCAACCGTCAATTAAAAGATCATCCATTTTGTAGCTGTACAAGAGAAAATATTAAAATAATAAAATGATTAATATAGATAACATAGTATAGTCATGCTGTATATATATATGTATGTATGTTACATTGCCTGAAAACTTGAAAACAGAGACATAATTCTCTGCCTGGCAATTTATGTATCATTTGATTCATCTCTTTAGGAAGGAAAAAGGAAGCAAGAGCCAAAGCTGAAGCTGATAATATGGGCAGTGCCTTGGGACCAGATTGGCATGAAGGCTTGAATCTTAAAGGAACAAAAGAGGTATGTTTTCATATACTGATTAAACATGTCTAGATGTAATTTTAAATTCTTGAGCCATTTGTTAAAGACTGGTTACAAATATATAGTCAAAGAATTCCTAGGTCACCTTACTTAAAATACATAGGGCTAGGAAAGGACTTCAAAGCCACGTGGCCCAGTTGCCCACCAAACATGGGCGAATATTAAATTAATCTAAGACAGGCTCTCAGCCTTCTTTTTGAATTCTCCAGGTATGATATTGTGAAATATATGCTGGCATACCTCAGAGATATTGTAGGTTCAGTTCCAGACCACAACAATAAAGCCAATGTCACAACAAAGCAAATGTCCCAGTAAAGCGAGTCAACACTAATTTTTTGGCTTTCCAGTGCATATAAAAGTTATGTTCACACTATACTGTAATCTGTAAGTGTACAATAGCATTATGTCTAAAAAAATATATAATACATACCTTCATTTAAAAAATACTTTATTGCTAAAAAATGCTAACAGTCATGTGAGCCTTTAGTAAGTTGTAATCTTTTTGCTGGTGAAGGGTCTTGCCTCGATGTTGATGGCTGCTGAATGACCGGGGAGGTGGTTGCTGAAGGTTGCGGTGGCTGTGGCAATTTCTTAAAATAAGTCAACCATGGAAGTTTGCCACATCAGTTGACTCTTCCTTTCACAAAAGATTTCTCTGTAGCATTTGATACTGCTTGAAAGCATTTTACCCACAGCAGAACTTCTTTCAATATTGGAGTCAGTCCTCTCAAACTCTGTGGCTACTAGATCAACTAAGCTTATGTAATCTTCTAAATCCTCTGTTGTCATTTCAACAGCATTCGCAGCACCTTCACCAAGAGTGGATGCCATCTCAAAACACCACTTTCTTTGCTTATCCATAAGAAACAATTCCTCATTCGTTTAAGTTTTATTATGAGATTGCAGCAATTCGTTCACATCTTTAGGCTCCACTTCTAATTCTCCTTCTCTTGCTATTTCAGCCACATCTGCAGATAATTCCTCCACTTAAAGGCTTGAACCTCTCAATATGGATAATGTACGAGGGTTGGAATCAGCTTCTTCCAAACTTCTGTTAATGTTCATATTTTGACCTCTTCCCATGAATCATAAATGTTCTTAATAGCATCTAGAGTGATGAATCCTTTCCAAAAGATTTTCAATTTACTTTGCCCAGACCCACCAGTGGAATCACTATCTATGGCAGTTATAACCTTACAAAATGTATTTCTTAAGTAATTAGACTTGCAAGTCAAAATGACTCCTTAATCCATGAGCAGATTAATAGATGTTATGTTAGCAGGCATCAAAACAATATTAATCTCCTTGTATATCTCCATCAGAGCTCTTGGGTGACCAGGTGCATTGTCAATGAGCAGTAATATTTTAAAAGGAATCTTTTTTTCTGAGTATTCTCAACAGTTGGCTTAAAATATTCAGTAATCCATCCTATAAACAGATGTGCTGTCATCCACGCTTTGTTGTTCCATTTATAGAGCATGAGCAGCGTAGATTTAGCACAATTCTTAAGGGTTCTAGTATTTTCAAATGGTAAATGGAATGGGCTTCAACTTAAATTCACCAGCTGCATTAACCCCTAACAAGAGAGTCAGCCTGTCCTTTGAAGGTTTGAAGTCAGGAGTTGACTTCTCTCAAACTATGAAAGTCCTAGAAGGCTTCTTCTAGAATAGAAGGCTGTTTCATCTGCATTGAAAATTTGTTGTTTATTGTACCCATCTTCATCGATGATCTTCTGAATAACTTGCTATAGCGTCAACATCAGCACTAGCTGCTTCACTTTGCACTTTTATGTTATAGAGACAGTTTCTTTTCTTAAACCTCATGAATCAACCTCTGCTAGCTTCCAGCTCCTCTTCTGCAGCTCTCTCACCTCTCTCAGCTTTCATAGAATTGAAGAAAGTTAGGGCCTTGCTCAGAATTAGGCTTTGGCTTAAGGCAATGTTGTGGCTGGTTTGATCTTCTATCCACACTATGCAAACTTTCTCAGGAAGGCTGTTTCTCTTTCTTATTCATTTGATCCTTGAGTAGCATTTTTAATTTCCTTCAAGAGCTTTCTCTTTGCATTCACAATTTGGCTGTTCGGCACAGGAAGCCTAGCTTTTGGCCTTTCTCAGCTTTTGACATGCCTTCTTCACTAAGCGTAATCATTTCTAGCTTTTCATTTACAGTGAGAGACATGCAACCCTTCCTTTCACTTCAACCCTTTTAGAGTCCACTGTAGGTTTATTAATTGTCCTGATTTCAGTATTATTGTGTCTCAAGGAATAGGGAGGCCCAAAAAGAGGGAGAGAGACAAGGGAACAGCCTATCGGTGGAGCAGGCAAAACACACAGAACATTTATTGGCACCCCAAAACAATTACAATAGTGACATCAGCAATCACTGATCACAGATTACCATAACAGATATAATAATGAAAAAGTTTGAAATATTGCAAGAATTACCAAAATGTGACACAAAGACACATAGCGAGTACATGCTATTGGAAAAATGGCACCTATAGACTTGCTGGAGGCAGGGTTGTCACAAACCTTCAATTAATAAAAAATGCAGTATCTGCAAGGCAGAATGAAGTGCAGTGCAGTAAAAGGAGGTGTGCCTGTATTTGGTCTTTTCTGACACACAACTCCTAAAATTTTTGGCATCTCCAAAGTGATGTGTCTTTTTTATGCTAATGAATTGACTAGTGGCTGAACCCCTAGGTAGCTTCAGGATGGGGGTGGTCACAGGAAAGACCAAGGCAAGATTGAAGGATTCAAACTTTTCAGCCCCACTCCTCCCAGTCTCCTGGGAAGGGAGAGGAGTTGAAGGTTAGGTTGAACACCAATGGCCAGTGATTTAATTAATTATGCCTATGTAATGAAGCTTCCATAAAAACCTAAAGGACTAGGTTCAGAGAGCTTCCAGATAGCTGAACACATGGAGGTTCTTGGAGAGTGGCAAGCCTGGAGAGGGCACGCAAGCTCCACGCCCCTCCCCATATGCTTTGTCCTGTGTATTTCTTCATCTGTACTCTTTGTTATATCCTTTATAATAAATCTGGCAAATGTAAGTAAAGTATGAAGCACACATGTAGTCCTTCATTACCGTGTGTGATTTCTTTAAAGCTTTGGTTTTCTGCTTTAGGTAGGTGGGACTAGGACTGACTACATGTATGTTTAATTTTGTGATAGAAATAATGCAAAAGCCTTTCTTTCCATACCTTCAGATCCTAAAATTAGTTGTATATTTAACCCAAGAACTTCAGCAGTTTAGTTCAATAAACATTTATTGAATGTCTACTGTCTACCTGGCACTTTACTAAGGTTCTACAATGTAACAATAAGATAGATCTTCTCTGAGTAAGTTTTTCCCTCAATAGTCCATAACCATTGTAATTTTTTAAAAATACATGTGTAATTATCAGTGAGGCTTATATGCCCTCCATACTTTTTGCCAGTGCAACTTCTAGATCTCTTAAGCACTGAATGAATTTATCCTCCTTTCATGCATAGAAATTGAGAGGCTTATTTGGGAGCACCCAATGTGTTTTCATTTATATTATAAGAATTATGTTTTCTATATGTTTCTGCAACTATATTAGGAATTTTTTCTTCATCATCAATAACCCAAGTTATTCTTTCCGAAGTATTATGGTGACCAGTATTTTTTTTTTTTTTAAGTTTTCTCGTAAGATTCACATTGAAACTACGTGTGAAGTAAAGAATATCTACTTTCAGGAAGAATTTAGAATTTTAAAGAAAGAGTCCTTGACTTTTCCAAGAGACCATCATGAGAAGTCAGTTACAACTGATAAAGGTAAGTAATGAAATAAAAAAATATATAACCACTTAATTAAAAGGAAAACAATTTAATCTTGCTGTATTTAAAAACAACTTCAAATTTCCATATAAAATTTAAACAAAAAATAAAAATAAAACCATAATTTAATAAAATTTAGTCACTTCTTTAAGTTTTCTAACAAATTAAATTGTACAGGGCTTTACATCTTACATAGGGTTCATAGTGTTTTGACCATCAGAATATCTTGAATATCAGAACACACAACACAAACCTGTAGCTCTCGAAGGTGAAATGACTTCTCCAAAATCAGACTGAAATGTATATATTGGGACTCAAATGCATAATTCCTAACTCCTGTTCCACACCTTCTGTGAGAACTACCATCTTTTAAAGAAATACAGTTAGCCACCAGTGTAAAAATATTCCATTGTTCTGAATTCTTTGAATTTTTTTCATAGGAAAAGGGAGTGTTAGAGTTTGAATATGAATAATGAGGGAAAACATTAAGAAGTAAGTATAACCTAGTTAGACTAAACACTAAGTGGAGTGTGAAGTATTAGTAACAGTTTTTGAACAATTGATTTAGAAAGTGATTATCAATTTTAATTTACTTTGTAAAAATTTGTATGTCCAGATTTGAAGGAAAAACATTTAGAATGCCATGGTTTTTTAATTACACCCAAAACAAGGAGATGATGTTGCTTGTGTTAAAATTATTATAGCAGCTGTGCCTTATAAAAATTATTAAGGCGTATTGCTATAAAGTCATTTCCTGCCTTTTCTTTCTTTCTTTGTTTTTAGTCATTGTATTCAAATAATGCTATGGACATTTGGTGATGATTACATTTGAGAATAAAGTCTATCTTTTTTTTTTTTTTTTAAGAGATGTGGCCTGTATATGTGGAATTGACCAATGAAAAGATCTATGGCTGTGATTTCATTGTCAGTGCTACAGGAGTTACACCAAATATAGAACCTTTTCTCCACGGTAACAGTGTAAGGTGAAATTATTTGTCCAGCTATGAATATTTTTAAAGTATTCTTTATGAAGATCTCTAATTCTCAAGCATGAAAAATTATTCATTATTTTAGTACAAAACTATAACTTAAGATGGTTGAAACAATTTGGCTTATATTCAAGTCTTGATTTATAGTATTCTTTACTGCTTAAAATCCTGAAGCAATTAACATCCTAGCTTAAGTGTCATTATTAATCTAAAGCTTGGCAAGAGACTGATACCTCCTGTGAATTCTCAGAAGTGATTCTTTTAAAGAAAACATCTTGTATTTTTTGCTTTTTAGCATTCAAAGCTTATAAAAACAGAGGAGTGTTCTTGTAATTACAGATAGGGTAGTCATATGGTTATTGAGTATTTTTGGTGTTGAAATTCTAAGAATTTTATGGGTCTGTCTAAGTAGAAATTTGATCCCTGGAAATCCTTAGGTGTTAGCTTAGGTGTTTAAACTTCACAGCTCTTTTTCGGTTCCTCATTAAAGATCAGCATACCAAGGTGTAAAAATTTGATTTATTCTTTTACTTTAGAATGAAATGTTATGTTTCATTTTTCTTGCCACTTATGCTTATGAAGAACATTGTTTAGTTTGATCTAGGAGAAGATGGTGGCCTAAAAGTGGATGATCATATGCACACATCCCTTCCTGATGTCTATGCTGCAGGTGACATCTGCACTGCATCCTGGCAACCGAGCCCAGTCTGGCAGCAGGTGAGCTAGCATATGTGGTCACATGTTTTTATCAGAGATCCTGTCTGAAAATAAAGTGGTTGCTACCAACAAACCCAACTTTCTGGTTCTCCAACTTTTCTACTTTAAGTAGGAAGCCGCCACAGAGTTGTTTTGTGATATTAAAAAAAAAAAAACTAGAATTTTTTTCCTTTTTGATAAGTTATTATATAGTGGTAGAGTGGGATATCTTTTAATTAAAAGAAATTATGGGCTATTACTTTGTTTTTCATTCCTATGTGCGTATCAGCACTGTCGGTAGAGTTTTCTGTGATGATGGAAATGTTCTGTGATCCTGCACCATCCAGTCAAGATGTCGTACTAGCCACATGTCACATGTGCAGTTGAAATGTGACTAACATAACTGAGGAACTGAATTTGTAATTTTATTAACTTTTCATTAATTTAAATAGCTACTGTGGCTAGTGGCTACCATATTGGACAGCACAGCTTTAGATTTAAAAAAAACAAACAAACAAACTACTGAGATAATAAATCATGTAGACAAAACATTCTATTCCTGGATGACCCTGTTCTGTCCTGTAGTAATTACTACTGAAAAATGTTCCTATAGTGAACTGATTTCCTCAGCCTTAACTCCCACCTGGATCTAGACTTCTTCCTGCCCTCACAGCATTGCCTATGTCCTTTTAATGGTGCAAGAAAAATACTAGAAGATAAAGACAATGACCAGAAGTGAGGTTGTCTTAGGAGGGGTAGAAACCTAGGTAGATGTTAACACTTATCTTTGCTAAGACCAGCTCCACAGTTAGGGATATTATTCATTCCAATTAACTGTGGAGTGTGAAGTAGTGGAAGAACTAAATATTTTAAGCAGCTTCATCATTTTGTATTTTTACAGACAGCAGAGACATCAATAGATAAGAGTGCCTTCAATCAGTAGTTGGAGTTTGTGGGAATTTTTTAACATTTTAAACCCTCTAGGATAAATTATATCTTTAACGTGTGTTATAATCTGATACAGGGAAGAAATAGCCAAAACTAAACAGGTGTCCCTTGTTTTGAGTGAATCCAGTAGACCCTATTTCTTAATTTGCACAAGCAACAAGGATGCTAATTAATTTATTTTTACGTAGCCCAAGATGCAGGCCACTTCTGTTAGCTGTTCTCAAGTTGTTACTATGCTCAGTTTACTCTGCTTCCTTGCCATAGACTGCCTTTCACATCATCAAATCTACCTCACTTACAGGAAACTAAATAAAAAAATCTATCACTTCTACTAGAAATGCTCAAAGCAAAAATAATACCATAATCATGCCCATGCCCACAAAAGACAGCATTAGTTAGGTACATATACACACACACAAGGGTGGAAGGAAACTAATTGCTTATTATAGGCTAAGCTATTTAATTTTCCTAATAGCCATGGGATAGATGATGTTATGTTTGTTTCAGATGAAGAAACTGGGGCTCAGAAAAGTTAAATATGTAGAAGAGTTGATATTCAAATCCACTGTGACTCCTAAAGCCAGTGTTTTTTATACCAGGGAAACCCAAAACTTTGTAGAAATAAAATAAAAATAGAGGGGAAGTTAATACCACTATGGGGAAAAATTTAAATGACTTCTCAGAATCAGTTGCTGAAATCTGATGGGCACCAGCTGATCTGTTTGTCCGATCATTGAGATAATTGCACGGCAAGCCTGAACTATCTAGCGCTTAAAAATGAAGGTTACTGGAAAATGGAACAAATTTTTAGTGATAGTTTGGCATCTCTATTACCGATAATGACAAACTTTAAAGAGGGGACTGGTTAATTAAAATTTGTTTCTCACCTGGTATAACTTAAAATATTTTCATAATATTTACTAGAGATTCTATTAAAACATATATGATTGGTATCATCCTTCAGTTTTAGAGGTAATGATTTAGATGGAATTTAAAAAATACCACCAGTCTGATTAGGGTGCATTGGTGGCTACTTCTATGGCAAAGATGATAGAAGGATGTCAAACATTGAACCCCTCTAAGGGAATTTATGAGGTTAAGATGGTAACATTTTTCAAATAATGATAATGAAAAATGATAGTATATGACATTTTTTCATTATTTCAGATGAGGCTGTGGACTCAGGCCAGACAGATGGGATGGTATGCAGCAAAGTGCATGGCTGCAGCTAGTTTAGGAGAACCTATTGACATGGATTTCAGCTTTGAACTGTTTGCTCATGTAACAAAATTTTTTAACTATAAGGTAAGATAGTTAAACATATTAATGCATTTTCTGCTTATTAGTCTTATAACTCTGGTAGATCATCTAATTTTGTCACTTGAATATAAATTTAAATAGTTTTAATCATTTTTCAAAAAATTTTTTTTTCATTTTTGCAAATCAATACTTGATATTACTGCCGATCTTAATTAGAAATTAAGATGATTAGGATCATCTGGTAATTACTATCCAGCTTACCACTATACTATTTTATAGTTAAGAGAAAAAAAATCTCCAGGATTTATTCCCTGTTGGTGCATTTCTAATCATTTTTCAAAAAATTTTTTTTTCATTTTTGCAAATCAATACTTGATATTACTGCTGATCTTAATTAGAAATTAAGATGATTAGGATCATCTGGTAATTACTACCCAGCTTACCACTATACTATTTTATAGTTAAGAGAAAAAAAATCTCCAGGATTTATTCCCTGTTGGTGCATTTCTAACTTTTACTTGAGATTCATTCTTTCTTTGTGAGGAGAATTAACAACTACTGTACTCAAAAATGAGCAAGGTGCTAGCCCATACATATTATTTTATTTAGTCCCCTTTACACTACTCTGAGACAGGTTTTTTTTTTCCCCCTTAATTTACAGACAAGGAGAAACATTCACAAGGCTCAGGGAAATTAAGTAATTTGTTCATGAAAGATCTATTCATTTCCTTATTAAATCTTTAAACCATGACTCCAGGCTAATGTAGTCCACATCTTACATATTTATATATTCACTAGATATTTTTAATGTTTGAAATACTAAACATTAATATTTGATTATATTCATTATTTTTAATGTTAATGTAGATTGCTAGTGTTATCTGTAGAATGAATACATGCCATTCAGATGTTTCTTTGGAATCCTCCCCAATAACATTTTTAGCTGTAAAATTGTATTGAATAATTTTTCTGCTGGCTATTCTAGCATAACACAAAATAACTACACATTATGTTTCCTTTTTGGCACTCACAAGGATAACTTTTTTTATCCCTATATTTAGGTTGTATTGCTGGGAAAATACAACGCACAGGGTTTAGGTTCAGATCATGAATTAATGCTGAGATGTACCAAAGGACAAGAATATATCAAAGTCGTCATGCAAAATGGGCGAATGATGGGAGCTGTCTTAATTGGTGAAACTGATTTAGAAGAAACATTTGAAAACTTAATTTTAAACCAAATGAATCTTTCATCATATGGAGAAGATCTGCTAGATCCAAATATTGATATAGAAGATTATTTTGACTAAGAAGGGAATTTCTTCAAGTGTCACATAAAGTTCCAAATGAGACAAGAAAAATCACAAGTCAATAAAAGGAATGACTGCACTCAGTTAATGATGACCACAATGAAGTTAAGAATACAGAAGTGATAACGATATTAGT